GGGATTTAAAAAAAAAAAAAATAAATAAATAAAAAAATAAGAAAGTGTTAGCTTGTAGTAAAAATCCACTTTGAAAAATACTATTTTTCACTATTTTTAGGTGGAAAAAAATTGAAAGTATATAATAAAAATGTTATACTCTTTCTGGTTGTTATGTCATAAAATTAAATTAACAAAGAGCATGGCATTTAAAATATCAATACTTACCGTGTCATGACAACACGTTACAAGCATACTTTTTGTACTACAAAAATTTTGTTTGCATTATAAACATTTAATCATTTTTGAACAATTTATACAAGTTTACGTAAGTGGTGGTTGTGAGTTCATCTAAAAAAATTTTAAAACTTACTGTCATGCTCTTGACCAAGTTATCAAATCCTGAGAAATATATTGTATGTTTGAAAGTGAAATATAATTATTGTAAATAATTTAAAGAAATAAAGAAATCAACAAACAATATCGTCAATGTATTTATTTACACATTAACTCGACTTCATGCCGTTAAAACATTTTCCGAATCGACTGATACTGATCAAAAGAACAAATTGTTTATTCAAGTCATAAATCATGTGAAATAAGGAATTTGGTTGTAAAATTTTTTCATAAATTTCTACTATCGTTTTTTTCCCATCCCATCGTTTGAATTAATAAAAAATATTAATAAAATGTACGGAAGAATCGATAAAGAGTTTGTCGTACGATAAATACATTAACAAAGTATGTATTTATTTGTCTGTATTTTAAAATAAATAACACGTTCAATTATTGAGACAGTGCTTAAAAAAATGACTGAATGTTATTTATTAAATTATGTATTCAATCTATTCTTCGAAATCTCTATAGTTTGTTAAACGTGTAGGTATATACTGACATTGTAAAAAAAAATAAAATAAAATAAACAATTACAGTATGCACACTGGATACTACTGTAAACAGGAAAATACAGAGCAGAACTATTTGCTCATGTAACAAATATATCAAATATAACAATAATAGTAACTTTCTAAATCAATATATAAATAAAATCGAGTGATTTAAAAAAAAAAAAAATAAATAAATAAAAAAATAAGAAAGTGTTAGCTTGTAGTAAAAATCCACTTTGAAAAATACTATTTTTCACTATTTTTAGGTGGAAAAAAATTGAAAGTATATAATAAAAATGTTATACTCTTTCTGGTTGTTATGTCATAAAATTAAATTAACAAAGAGCATGGCATTTAAAATATCAATACTTACCGTGTCANGTAGTAAAAATCCACTTTGAAAAATACTATTTTTCACTATTTTTAGGTGGAAAAAAATTGAAAGTATATAATAAAAATGTTATACTCTTTCTGGTTGTTATGTCATAAAATTAAATTAACAAAGAGCATGGCATTTAAAATATCAATACTTACCGTGTCATGACAACACGTTACAAGCATACTTTTTGTACTACAAAAATTTTGTTTGCATTATAAACATTTAATCATTTTTGAACAATTTATACAAGTTTACGTAAGTGGTGGTTGTGAGTTCATCTAAAAAAATTTTAAAACTTACTGTCATGCTCTTGACCAAGTTATCAAATCCTGAGAAATATATTGTATGTTTGAAAGTGAAATATAATTATTGTAAATAATTTAAAGAAATAAAGAAATCAACAAACAATATCGTCAATGTATTTATTTACACATTAACTCGACTTCATGCCGTTAAAACATTTTCCGAATCGACTGATACTGATCAAAAGAACAAATTGTTTATTCAAGTCATAAATCATGTGAAATAAGGAATTTGGTTGTAAAATTTTTTCATAAATTTCTACTATCGTTTTTTTCCCATCCCATCGTTTGAATTAATAAAATTATCGTTTTACAGCAGCTAACGTTATTAATTGACTCCAATACAAAGCACATAATTATAAGTTTAAAAAAAAGAATTTTAGCCTGTTTTTTATTTATTTATTATTCACGACTAACTTTGTGTTATACGTAGCCATTACATTGTAACAGTTTGAAGACGTGAAGTTTTTATATTAATTTGAGTATCATAAAAAATAGTAGACTTATTTTACTCTCAATAATAGACACTGTGCCTTTGCATTTTAAACTGATGGTACTCAATTAACTACACCATTGATTGATTTTTTACTTGATTAGTTGCTTATTCCCTAACGATGTCAGCTACTGCTTAAGAAATAGAATGTTTTCGAATACCACTAATCACTATACAAAAATTAAAATACTTGAATAAAAAAAAATGATTCGGAAAATCTCTTTATTTATTTCAACAGTAAAAATTTGAACCGACAGTATGATGTATCAATTATCTGTATTTGATGTGTCTATAATGAAACGTTATAACTGTATTCTGATAGTATTGACTTAAGTTGTAGTAGTTAAAAATTATTGTTAACAATTATTGTATCATACATAAAGTCACACATGTACTTTTTAAATAATTATAACAATGTGGTATAAATACGATTACAAAAGTGGTGATCATGATTTTTTTTTTTTTTTTAAGATTTAAATGAATGAAGAAAGCGTCAATATTTTTTATAAGTTTTATTTCATCGTCTCATGATTCCATGTTTTTAACACCTTTTCCGTTCCTAGGGAAATAATATTCATAAATACTAAACAAAAAATCCTTGTCAAAATATATAATTAATATCTGCAGAACATTTGTTTTAAAAAGAAAGAGGACTTTGAAAAATTTTTTTTTTTCGTGTATACTCGCACGTAAATAACCAATTATTTTCATTAAATTATCAATTACTGAACTAATTTTCAACGTGATTATCAAAAAATGTATATTTTTTGGCTAACATACTTTGGTATTGCTATAATTATTTAGTATATTTAAATAGAAATATTTATGTTTTATTTCTTGGACTGTAAAATATTTTTGTAGTCATGATTACAAAGATTTTTGCTATTAATGATATTTTAATTACCATTTGAAACGTAAAAAAATTCTGAATGAAATAAAAAATGTAAACTAATTGTAAGCTTACACAATTCTAAAATTTATCATAATGGTTTCGTTTAGATAACAGAATCACAAAAAAAATAAAACACAGGAACATCCCAGCGTGTCATAATTGTTTTTGGTTCACTAAAGAGGAATTCAAAACCATTTCAAAAGACTGATGACGTACTGAAACAATTTAGGATTTGGATAAATATTCAAAGGTCCCAAAAACTCCTATTACAAAATGTGCCGTTCTTGTGTATACTATTTTTTTGTATTTCAGTACAATTTTTCATAGCATTCGTTATTTTTACGTTAAAAAAAAAAAAACGTCCAAATTCGTCCGATAAAAATTTAATTCTAAATGCTTCATAAATGCTACAAGATATAGTTATAATATGCATAAATATGTAGTACATCGCAAATAAAATTTAATCTCAAAGATTCATAACCGAACATGAATATTAAAAATATTCTAAAAGACATAAACCCGAAGTTTAATTGCATATGTAAGTACTAAAGTACCAGAACAAATAATATCTATTAGAAAACAAACGAAAATTTTTGTTTAATCTCCACGTTACTTGATTCTCAAAGACACAAAGCCAATCGATGAAAAATAATTTCGTTACATGCATAATTTTGTACATCTCATCCCATACTACGTATATAAAACTTTAAAAATCTCCCGCTTTATATAATATCCGCCTTACAATATTACACCTCTAGACTTAACAAACAAATCGCCGATCTTGTTGAGCGTTCGATTCGACCTCGAATCACATTCCTCGTGGACTGTCAAAACCCATCCATCCTACTCCTGATCGCACGTCTCGAAATCATCGCCCGCGTCCTCAGTCTCAAAATCTTCCTCGGTAGTTGCCTCCTGGTACTGTTGGTATTCTGATACCAGATCGTTCATGTTCGACTCTGCCTCGGTGAATTCCATCTCGTCCATACCCTCACCCGTGTACCAATGCAAGAAAGCTTTTCTCCGGAACATGGCACTGAACTGCTCGGAAATACGCTTGAACAGCTCTTGAATGGCCGTTGTGTTGCCAATGAAAGTTGCCGACATCTTCAGACCACGTGGTGGTATGTCGCACACGGCGGTCTTGACGTTGTTCGGGATCCACTCAACGAAGTACGAGCTGTTCTTGTTCTGGACGCTGAGCATTTGCTCGTCAACCTCCTTCATGGACATGCGACCACGGAAAACGGCGGCAACGGTGAGGTAGCGTCCGTGACGTGGATCGCAGGCAGCCATCATGTTCTTGGCGTCGAACATCTGTTGGGTGAGCTCGGGCACCGACAGAGCCGAGTACTGTTGCATCGAACGCGAGGTCAACGGGGCAAAACCGGGCATGAAGAAGTGGAGTCGCGGGAATGGCACCATGTTTACGGCGAGCTTGCGTAGGTCGGCGTTCAGCTGGCCCGGGAAGCGTAGGCACGTGGTCACACCGGACATTGTCAGTGAGACCAAATGGTTCAGGTCACCGTATGATGGGTTCGAAACCTACGACATTAAATTTTGGCAATTACGTATGTATTTATTTCATTCCAACACATTCATTTGTTCACTGTCCCGTGAGTTATAAGTTCTTATTACCACCCCATGACAAAATGGAGATAGAGATTCGAACTCTAGATCTGACATTACAAATCTGTTTCTACTTGTATATATTTAATACTCGTGCCCTATATTTCAGTATGAAACGTTTGAAAATGGTAAAAACGTCAAGTTTGCAACCTGAAGGGTTGACGTTCGAAACTTGGTTCCCTATTGTTTTTGGGTACCTCTACAGTTGTTGATTTCCACGAGTCCCTATCACTATTATGGCTCCTCTTTGGTATAAGGCACTACTTTGAAAACTATCATCTCGTTCACATACACTCATAATATTTGAAAACAAAGTGCATGCGTTTCAATCGGAATCGAACATTAGTCCCTTACCTTGAGTGTTCTGAAGCAAATGTCGTAAAGTGCCTCGTTGTCGATGCAGTAGGTCTCGTCTGTGTTTTCGACCAACTGGTGTACCGAGAGGGTGGCGTTGTAGGGCTCGACGACGGTGTCGGAGACCTTTGGCGACGGCATGACGGAGTAGGTGTTCATGATCCTGTCGGGGTACTCTTCGCGGATCTTGGAAATCAAGAGGGTCCCCATACCGGAGCCGGTACCACCACCAAGCGAGTGAGTGAGCTGGAAGCCCTGCAGGCAGTCGCAGTTTTCACACTCCTTGCGCACAACGTCGAGGACCGAGTCGACCAGCTCGGCTCCCTCGGTGTAGTGGCCCTTGGCCCAGTTGTTGCCGGCGCCGGACTGTCCAAACACGAAGTTGTCCGGGCGGAAGAGCTTGCCGTAAGTGCCCGAGCGGACTGCGTCCATGGTACCGGGTTCGAGGTCCAGAAGGATGGCGCGGGGCACGTATTTGCCGCCACTCGATAACGTCGAAGCTGTAAATTAAGGAAGTTATACTTGTGATCGTCAACGTAATGTTTACTTGGTTTTATCTCGTAATATTGAATTGATTATTATGTATAGAGTCAGCATAGTAGAATCCTTTTGTAATGTTTTACATTAGTTTTTTAAATATCTTTCTTTTTATAGTTCATCCATAATTTATTGATTATTTATAATTGTAGACAGCATTTAATTTTTGTTATCCCAAGTCATTGTCTGGGTCAATAAATTTATACCAAATGTATATAAGTCTATTCTGGATTATCTTTGGCTCAATTTAAGTGGTTCCCACTGATCAGAGGTTGTTTAGGATGAGCTTTGGGAGCACAGGTTTTTTTTATAGATTTCTTATCACACTATCAGGAAATTTTTCCAACATTGGTTTTAATTCTTATTTAATTGATTAACTCAATACCAATTTTATTTTCTTACTTTTTTTTTTTACAAAGCACGAAGCTAAGATTGCTTTTTAAAAACGTGCAAATTAGCATGTATGTTTGGAAAAAAAAGCTCTCGATCCCAGTGGTAGCTTTCACAGTGGGCCTCCAAATTGAAAAAGATTTTCTCAGAAAGGCAAAAAAGGATAAAGAAAATTTTTGTAAGAAACCACAAGTGACACGCAGTCACGAGAAATAAAATTACACGCAGCATCGGGGGGGAGGAAGAAAAATAGAGCCCGCATGCATGTACGTTAGCCTTGGTTTTTTTTTTTTTTTTTTTTTTTTTCAGCCTGCTCGGATGTGTACGCGCGCGTCCCTTTTGTAAAAATTAAGATCTTTAAGAGAAAGAGGAGGGAAAAGAATGCAAGAGCCACGAGAGGGAATTAAGAAACTCCCTGTAACGCAGTGCCGTTTATTTCTGTCGGCACGAGCCAGAACCCCATACGTGATCTTTATCTATCCATATATCTTTTTCTCTCTCTCTCTCTCCGCGTAGTTTATTTCGCTTTTGGACATATCCCACACAGCCCGCGCTTGCAACAGTCTCCGTAAGTTGCAGTCGCATGATCTCTCGGTGGGTATACGTGGAGTCAGCGACGACGGCTTCCGTACGTACACATTCCCGTCGCCGTCGTCCCTCCGCTTATTTAGAGACACGCTCTTTCCCTTTTACCAAATGTATATAATAGTCTCTGGCCTCCCAGCCATCCCAAAAATGCTCCCATCTGTGTACTATGTACGCGCTTTACACAGTAGCACCTCTTATACACACTGCCTTTAAAGTAACTATTTTCGTATAAGTACCGATCCTTGCTTCCTTCGCATCGCGCACACCAGTGATAAGAACGAGCGCGTCGCTTGTATGCATATATACGTTCGCGCTCCCAATTAGTTTTATCTATTTTTTTTATAAGTTATGAGGGTTTCATTTACCGAAAGAGGTATTACGTTGCTATATGCCTTTTAGACACTAGCTTTAGCTGAAAATTGAGCTTGTAAATATTTTCCCCAACAAACGGGGTTGGTTGGACGTTGGGATTGAATTGTTTTTACATTGGGTGCATATAGTATTTAATGTCTTACCCGATGCCTCGTTGTAGTACACCGAGATCCTCTCGAGCTGCAAGTCGCTCTCGCCATGGTAGACGCCCGACTGGTCAATGCCGTGCTCCTCCGAAATCACCTCCCAAAACTGCAACAATAATCATGTAGTTGAAGAAAAAATAAAATTATTTTTCCACCGTTGTATTATCCTCGAACGTTTTTTTACAGTATACAGTATCGGTAAAACGGCCACCCTTGACGGAGGCACCTATCGACCTCCTCCCTAAACGCGAGTGCCGCAGCAATAATCGTCCCCGGGCCCAAACCATCGGTGGGCGTGCAAAGCGCCCCAGTTGATATTTGGAAAGATTTAACTTGACATCCGAAAATCACCCACTAAAGAAGCCGGATGATTTACCTCGGACGGAATTAGCGACGAAAATAGCGCGCCCGTGCGCGTATACCATGGGGGACGGTGCAGCGGCTCTGCGAGTTTCTCTCCGGACGCACTTATTAGTCCTTTAGCGAGAGCGCATTTCTCGCTCTCCTGCTCCACACGTGTATATATGTATATACGTTTATGTGCGCTGTGCGCGCGAGCCGAGAAAGAAGCCGCAGAGGTGCTCGTTTCTATTTCTCGAGCTGGCGTATAAATAGGACTTCCTTGGCATATTTCCTCGGCTGGTGCAGCGCGGCGTCAAACCGACGCTCCAGCAGCTCCCATCCCGGCCTTTCCTCCTTTTGCATTTTCACCGCCATATATACGTACGCGCCATGGGGCCACGTACATACTCTCTGTTATAAATTATTTCCGTGAAAGTGAGTTGTTAAACGTCTCTCGCTGCTACGTATATACATACAGTCGGCTGTTAATGAGGTTTTTCGTGGACAAGTGGAACAAAAGTTTACTCGCGCAAGTGCATCTAATTACTTTTACGCGAGACTCCGGTTTATCGATGCTCATTGGATCCGTTAGATTTTTATTGGTCCATACATATATAGTATACGCGTTGTACGGTCGAATGAAGCATATAGCTGTGGGAGAGTCCTTTTTTTTTTTTTTTTTTCAATTCCAACCATGCACAAGTAATTGGATATTTCTAAACGAAAACGCGTGGACTGTTGAAACTTTGGACAACAAATGATCCGTTAACAAATCATTAATATTTGGTATTTGGTTTCGTCGTCGCTATACTATCTTTATTTTTTTCTTCCGAGCTCTGACAATATTGTCAACAAATTCTTTATTTATCGAGTGTCAATGACGAAACAACACTGCTTACATTTTAATCAACAACTTTGCGATAGGCTCTGCCGGATATTATATACCTTTTGTTTCCACGTATATCGTTAAAAAATGTCCAACTTGGAGTCTTTACTCCCCAGTAACCACAATAAGCCGCATCGAGTCGCAAGAAAACGACACCCAATAAATCGCCAACTCCGAAGCATCGCATATTACGTACAGCCTTTCTCGTGCTCGCGCGTAAAGCTTTATAGACGCTAGACGTCGTTGGCCCGCGTACACACGTATATGGGGAGGCGTTGACCCGCCCAAAGGAGGTCTCCCTTTGCGGAGTTCCGAAAACGTCGCGCGGCGCAAAATACATATAACATACGTAAGAAGAAGAAATAGGGACCAAAGAGAATTTAGCGAGTGGTACGTATGTATAATGTAATATGTGTGCCAACAGTATATGGAAAGAGGGAGAGGACGACGCGTCATGTGAGAGGTGCATGTCGTAGGATCGTCTCCTCTTCGACCTAGGATTATTTTGTACTGTCGATTTCTAAGGAGAGCCTTGGTTCCCGGTCTAGTACGTAGACGATCGGAGGGAGTTATTTTTTGTAATTTTTCTTTTCTTTTTGTTTCCAACCCGTTTTTGTCGATTGGGTTTGCTCGAGAACAGCTGGATAAGATACAAATCGGTCGGAAGCGCGTCTCGACGGGCTAGAATGAGCACATATATAAACGGTAGAGATAAGCAAAGTCTTTTCCCAGTACCCATAAACCTATAATCTTAATGACGCGCACACACTGTCCGTGTGCACTAAGTTATTAATTATTTTGTATTGGAAAAAAGATTGAAAAAAAGCTTTGATTTTTTTTTTTTTCTTACCGATGCAAAACCTGCGAATCCTCGATCCGTTTATTTGTAAGAACTGTACACTACCCGTCCAATTAAATCGGCGCGCTTTTCACGTCCCTATGTACGATATATATATACACGTGACCGAAGGAAGTATGCAAATACTGCTCTCTTCCACTTCATTGCAGCGTCTAATAAAGTCTTGAAAGATCTCAAGCCAAGCGCAACTTAAGCGTATATTACATGTATGCAGTGAGTTCGCGTTTTACGAGGCGCAACGCTCCGACCACCCATGCCAGCTCGGCAAGCTAAGTATTACTTGTATGTATACATACATGTGCCACCGTTTCGTCTGATATTATGGATGTAAGTATATACTTGTGCGGGCCAAGCCCATGCACGAGTAATATGCGGAGTAAGGCCCAGTCATCCGGAAAATCGGGAGCTCGAAAGAGCGAACGGTAAATCTGCGCGTCGGTGCCGATCGCATGGGCGCGTAATAATGTATCCGGTGGTCGTTTCGCGGTGAACCCCTTGAATTTTTAAACTATACGGGGACACAATGTGCAGGTATTTATACATATAAGTACGTGTCCTGAATGCTTTGTATCGATCGTGATACTAAGCGAAGCTATTTAGTCCACATGAATGTATTATCTGATGGCGAGTTGCAGAATTTGAAGATCCATCCGATTTTACTTTGTGAAAAAAAACGTTACACACAAAACGCATTGTCTTACAAGTATATAGTATACCAAGGGATACTCCCGGACGAATTTACGCCACAGACGCGGTTGATCCATCGCTGCAAGCATATATACTTACCGAGCCTGCTAAAAACGTACTTCCGGTCCCCCTCCCAAGTCTCTTTTTAACAAAAATTATATTTCTAAATGCCCCTCTGTCTCCGTCCGCGGACGTATTATTGGAACAGAACCATAAATCCAAGTCAAAAAGGTTAACGGCACCCGTACTCGCGTACATATGTATTATACGTCACTCAAAAAAAAGTCGTAGGACACCCCTCTACAGTCAAGCCCAAATAATCGTGCAACACTTACGCAACACGTACATAAGTATAAGATGTACAATATTATATATAGCCGGACAATTTGGGTAAAATAGCTCGTACGTGTGTATTTATATAATATGCACGTACTTGTGTGACGGCTAATTGGCTGCAGCTTCAATTCACCGGGATTAATTCAGTCGGCCGGCTGTTGCTGCCGCTTCTGATTCTTCGGCGGCGCACACAAGGGGAGCTTTGCTGCTTGATTTCTGTATAACGCGCCGTGTACTTACATAAAAAAAAATCAACACTACTTGGCTCTGTGTACACAGTGTATGTATACCAAGACTGGGCACTCCGTAAGAATGGCCCTGTTAATTGCCCGCACGGATAAATTGACTCTCTCACTGAGATACGTTGGTTGGGTACATCACCCGCGAGGCTCTAAAGCAGAGAGGAAGAGTTATATATAATGCACGAGATGATATTTATGCACGACTCGCGTGAGCCCCTACTGGAGCTTTTGATCACGTTCACGCTGTGTTTTATGCGCGCGGGGGTGCACTCGCGCGCGAGTGAGTAATAATTGTTTTTTTTTTTTTTTTTCTTCCCTGCATATATACACCAACGAAACGCTGCAGGAGTACTCGATTGATGTTTAAATTAAACGGTGCAATTTAACGGATTGCGCGTGATTCTGAAAATCACGCGTTTGACGTAGTCTCTCCGTTGAAAAGCGCCCGCGGCTTCGTTAAAATTAATCATCAAAATTGCCGGGGCTTCGCTGAAGTTTAAAACAGCCCGGTTTCCTCAAATTTCGCCTGAATATAGATACCATTATCACTTTACCACGGACCAGCCTAAAAATATTATACACAGCTCTCCCAATCCTGCACAGCTTTCTTTCTTAGCTTACTTTCTTGGCTTCGGTTGGCGCACTTGGTGCGTCGACGAGCTCTCAAAGAGGAAACGTACTTGAGTCTCTATAATGCATCAAATCAGCGCTCGATTATTGTTATGTAGGATTTATTATCATCGACATGTACAACACATGGACCGTGTGCAGTGCTGAGCGCGCGATACTAGTCTCCCTCGCGTTTTCCGGAAATATGAGTCACGCCCGGACGATTTACGAGTGTGTTTTCTTTTCGGATGGGGGGACGCGCGAGGGAGATAAAAGGGAGATCAGAGAGCCGAGCCGGGAGATAAGCCCGGCGAGTGAGCGTTATATACGCCGAGCGATGCGCGCAGCCGTTCTCGAGTGCGATGATTTCGCGATGCTCGAGCAGAGGTTGTTGTTTTTTTTTTTTTTTCTTTCTTCGTATACGTAGAGCACGGGTTACACACTTGGATGGGCTGCTGAATGTGCCATTGTGCTTTTTGATTGATGCAATGGTTTCTCGGGACTTTGGGCCTTTGCCACGAGGACGGGACCAGCTCGATCTGTAATTAAAGTAATTGCTCTGCTCTCGCGGAAATGAGACTTTTGCCAAGGGGACCTTTTTTTTTCGACTGGAAAATTGGAGTCGTATATTTGGGGAGCGATACAGGCGACCATGCATACATCATAGTCAGCGGAATCTGCAAAAGTATGGCATTTCTTTAAAGTTGACGCAGCTTTTTTTCACAAAACGTGTGTACCTCGTACCACGTCCGCACAGAGTGAATAGTACATGGTTATATATAGGATAAACACTGAGTTGATCGAAACATCATACTAGAATCAGATAAGTAAAGTAATCAAAGTGAAAAAAAAAAAAAAAAAAAAAAAGTACTTTTACACCAACTTTGGTTCGCGAATTCGATCATGTAATGCGTATCATGACGCGATTGTACGCGTTATTGGCATCGCGAGGGTGAAAAAATACTCGGGATATTCCGATATATCTAATATCCACTTGCAGAATGAATCAGGCCACGGTCCAGCGACCTAACAACACGCGTATCGCGTATCGTATATCCTATTTCCATATCGCTATGTTTTACGTAATGAACAATACTAACAATAAGAACAAATAATACAGCGCATAGGTAAAATAATTCACGAGACTCGACAAACCACGTGTGTGATGTTGCAGATGTTGAAGAACAGCGCGAGCAAATAAGTTTGAAGGCAAAATAAGTATGTACGAGAGAAACGAGACTCTGCAAAAAACTCCTGGAAAAATCAGCATTCCTTACGACTATGGAGAAAGGCGGAGGGGGGGGGGGGTAACAGAAAAACAAAAGCACACCGCGTTCGTATAAAGAGCCAGAGTTTACTGCCCACTTTGTTTAAACAGCGCGGAATCCCTATGCATGCGTATACGTAATGGGCCTCAACTGTACGCGGGACGGTATACATCTCTCGAGACTCGCGTGGCGTACAGCACGAATTTCATCGCCTCCGATGGGTATAATGGTAGTAGTCTCGGAGTTGCGATGCGTGTCCATCCCAGATAATAAAAGCAGGAATGCCAGGGAATACGAGGGGGCGTCCTGTAGTGGACTAAGACGGGGATTTAAAGAGGCGCTGACTCGATAGGCGCGCTTTTAAAGCTCTTGTCGCAGAGTACACTCGCGTCGAGCTTTCCTCGAAACGCCAAGTATACAGTCGCGCGAGTCCCATTGTGCGACGCGATAAGATTGTGCTGTCGGCAGGGTGGCATGGTGTTTCAAGTCCGGCGTATCTTCGTCATCGTCGTCGGCTGAGGATTAGTAATGCACGCGCGACGCGTCATGTGCACCGTGTTGTATAAATAGGTGCGTATACGTATACTGTGCACGGCTGTGTATACATCGATGCGTCGTGTTTCTCTTTTGTTTAATTTTTTTTTCGTCCCTTCGGCCGATTGACACGTCACGCGCGACTTGCAAAGGTAAATGAAATATTGGGTGTATTCCCACCCCTTTTTTTCGGAGAGGAGTAAGTTGTGTGGCTCGAATAATTATTGATAGGTGGTATTGGCAGGGAAATTGATCCGTTGGATGATGCACCAGAGACACATAATCCCATGAAACTTCTCATTTTACTCTGTGGGTCGAAAAAAAAGGGGCAGGGGGCTTTGGAAGAAAATTAATTTGTCGCCGAAGCGGTGCCCGTATCGAATTTTCCGTCAATCCAAGGGGACACAATTTTTACAGGACTGACGTTTCAAGGCTATAATTACAAGCGAAGGAAGTAATACAAGAACGCGTATACTGGGAGAGTATAGGGAGCAACCGCAGGGGTCGCTTTACGCGCTTCCTTCTTAATTTCATTACACCGTGTATACGTAATGCGTAGGTGCGCGATATATTGTTGCGCGTTGCTCTGTTATATCGCGTGTGAGTGTTTTTTTTTTTCTTTTTTCTTTTTCCGTAGGTGTGCCTACCGAGAGAGCAATGCTCTTTCATCGATTCGATGTCGTGAATGTGCTCACTTCTCAGAAATCTTTGTTACTTTGCCGTTGGTTCAATATTGCCTTTTATGGGATTCCCCTGTTTTTTTTGCGCTGTTTATCGTTCGCGATCATGCAGGATGTTCGTGTTGTAAAAAAAATGTTTTTTTTTTTTTATTAGATAAAATATTCTTGCTTCAAAGCTATACTCTTTTTCAGTTCATTGACTCTCGATGTTTATAGTTGATAAATTGAATAAAACTGTATAGCGACAACTTTTTTTTATGTCATTACGTTCATACAACAGACTATGTTCTATTTCTCGTAAACGATCAAAAAACAAACTATCACAGGATAGTTGAGATTTTGATTGATTTTTGTATATGTTTTTTACAAGTGGGTATAGCATAGAAAGGGGACTATAGTTTTTTAGGTACTATCCTCAACTCGACAATAGAGAAGCTCATGTGTATTAACAAAAGATTGTAATCTAGTGTTCCAAAATAGTTCAAGCATTTAAAAATAAATTAAGTACAGAGAGAGAGAGAGAGAGAGCTAAGAAAGTGAAATAAACACCGAAACCACACGGCCTGAAAATATATCCGTAATGACTCGATCGTTAAATGGCTATTGAAAAAAAAAAAAAAAAAAAAAAAATACGCAATTCATGAGAAGACCTCCAGTACTTATCTGCTTATGTTTTTCATTTTTTTTTTCTCCGTACCTATTTCAATATATGAACAATAGAGAAGCAACTGTTAACAAAACAAAATTTTTTCAACTTCCATACGCATATACTTGCGAAAGCGAGGAACAAATGTACCCACACATACATGTATCTACAATATATAATGTACAGCCATGCATGTACCAATGATTCATGTTTGAGGATTTTTTTTTCCCAATAAGCCGTTCAACGATCGAGTCATTACAACACTCCAAAGTCGGTGCAGTCTTGGATACCGATTTCTGAGCTTTCGTATTATCAAGTTAAAATTATACGATTCTCTGAAAGTAGCACCAAGAGACAGACGTACAATAATTAAAGTTCGAGGTCTCGCGATTTTTTTTTTTTTTTTTTTTCGTGCAATGGGTCCGTAACGAGTTCTCGCAAAGTTCAAAAGAACAACACACGCGCGGAGACCGACGACAGCAGCTGCACGTACGTACGTATACGATCATACGAATATAAGTATATATAATTGCACGAAGCACCGTAGGGAATTCACGCACTGACGTGTCCTCTCTCTCTCTCTCACTCTCTTTTTTTACTTACGCTGAGCGACAAAATTAGCTGTCTCGACGACGGCCTTATGAATTTATGATACGCCTACCCAGCCTCTGTATACTCGACCCGCCAGTTGTAATAACCACACTTGCTTTTGATTAAAATACGCATTATTCTACTGCAATATGGGGTGTATACATATATTCTGATGTAAATGGATATACGCGTGTGCGCCTTGGCTTCTTTGGTACGGATTAATTTGTAATAACGTAGCTGAGGATTCGTTAATTATGAATAAGCGCGTTATATACCGGCTTAGGGAGGCGATGGTTCACGGGAAGCGAGAAAATAACAGGAGAGTACCTACGGTATGGAAACCGCGTAAAAATAGATCGTTATTATTCAATGTGCCCGCACATTTTCAGCTAACGGATAATACATGTATACAGTACGCACAATTTTACTCTTTTAAACTGCCCTTCCACGTCACTTGCAAGTGTATAAAATATTAAAAAAAAAAAAAAAAAACATATTCACCATAGCTCTGGGAATCGTTTGAAAAGAAAATAACTCGGCATATCTACATCTGCACGACAGCGTGAGTCCGGGCGTTGACCAGCTAATGCTAAATGTACGCGTGTAGGGTATAGCGCGCGGAGTCTTGCGAAAACAATCAATTCACGGGACGATCGTTATTCGCGTATTCGCGTGCCATCGCATACAAGAGAGATAGTGGATTTTTTTTTTTTCTCGTTACGATCTTCCAATTCGTCTCCTCGGACGTGGTCGATCGGCTGCTTGCGCGTTTGGTTTTCGTCGCTGTCGTCGCCGACTTCGTATGAATATATACACGTAGCGTTCAACACGTGCTCTATTCGATTGCGATCGGATGCTTCGCCGATCAGATACCGATTTTTTGTTTTCTCAACTCTCGGCAGTATTTACGTTCCCAACCGATCTCATGAAAAATAAATACATCTCAAAAACCAGATCGGCTTTGAATGCGAGGGATAAAAACTGTTAATTCACTGACATAATATACATAACGAGACTTACGATCGCGTGGATAAAACCCCGATAATTTGCATTGTAAAAGTAGCACATATTGTTATGTATACACGTGAAATATGAAGCAACGCACCTTGGCTCCGATCTGGTTGCCGCACTGTCCAGCCTGTAGATGTACAATTTCCCTCATGTTGCTCGTCTCCTTGATTTCCTTTTTTTTCTTTCTTTTTTTTTTTTTTATCTACGGGTACTACGTAAGACGTTAGGATTGTACTCTGAACTATCGGCGCTGGCTACAAGTATATACGAGCTGCAGTGCTCTCAGCTCGGAGTCTCGAGCGCTAATGCAGTGTAGCATCGAGCCGGCCGGCCAAAAGGGGCTTGGGTCTACGCGTCTCTCTCTCTCTCTCTATCTTTCGCTTGACGTGCGTGCGCCTCCTGGTGAAGCCTCCGTGTATACACGTCGGACTCTAGGGGGAGTATAGGTACTCGAATATAGAGCCTCCTCCAGTGCGTATCTACATGGGTAACGTAGCGGTTTTTTGCGCGATTATTGGAGCGAGTTTTTTGCACGTGTACGTACTCGTAACTGTAAATAATGCGCACGTAAGGTTGTATCCGAGGATTCGTTTGCACGAGCTATACGACGGCGATTGCTGTTGGGAGAGAAAACATAACACTTTTTACCGAGTACATAATATATAATAGGGTTGAAGAAATTTTCCATTTTTTTTTTCTACGTATCAGCTCAGGATAATTAACCGAGACAGGGAGATTTTTTAGAAACATTTTTATTCGTCGCCTTCGACGAGATTTTTCAAATTTTGTAGGGAATACATTAACTCGAAAACAAGTATGGAAGAGAAAAAAAAAGGTCACTCTCAATGTGGTCCCTGCGTTTTGCGGAACAGCTCATAAATGCCATCATCAACCCAACTCTGGAAAGAAGCGACTCACACCCATGCGGATACGCGAGCGCAAGTAACAAGCCAGACGCACACTGGAGGGCTGCTGTACATTACGCAGACTTCGTTTCTCCGCCGCAAAAACGCGCATCCCCAAAGTAAAGGAGAGGAGGAGAAGAAGTAGTTCTATCTTTGAAGCTAACCGAGCAGCCCTCGCGGGAAAAAAGGCCCGCTCGAAAGAATGCCAGTCTCCGCGCGCGCTGCAAGGGACCCCGAAAATGGATTTCAGCCGCTCGGGAGGTTTTTGCTTTTCCCTTTTTTTTTTCCTCCTCTACTCTTTCCCTCTGTGCTATTCTGGCCCCGTCTGCTCTTGTTTCCCCCGTGCGCGGCTCTCGACACCTCCGTGTCCTCCCGTACGCCGAGAGAAAAAGTCGTCCGAAAATAACAAAGAAAAAAAAAAACCCCCTGAGAAAGAATTGGACGAACCGAGGAGGGCCAGAGAAATGGCACTCCCTGCGAAAGCTACATATACACACGGCAGGAGTTTTAAGGCTGCTCTCCCTCGGGTGTATTTAAAAGGCTTTTTTTCCTCTCTCGTCTACAGGACGTTTATTTCGCTCAACGCGCTTTATCGATTTTTCGTTTTCTCCTCTTCCGCGTCGGCGAGCAATGCCTAATGAAGTCATTATAGCCGTATTTTGGTTTCGTTTTACGAGATGCGCGCGCGCCATGGTAAATATAACTAACGGGTACATACATATAGAATTGGGGGAAAAATATCATCCCGATTACGAAGAAAAAAAAAAAAAATACGAAATGTCACAGGATAAATTGATGGTCTAATTTTTTGTTGCTTAATACTTTGCTCACAAATTGTTTTAAAAGGCTTTACTTGCAGGGCTTATATACTCTTCTCATTTTTGTTCAAGGAAAGCAAAAGTACACTTTTTTTGGACCACTTTCATACCAACGGAATATATATACAATACTAAAAATTAATTTATAAATTATTCCTACAAAAATGTAAAACATGACCATTGAAACACAACGCGATCAATGTATAAGTATTTTGCTCACTGCTGCTAACGATGTGTTGTATGTACTTTCTTCTTACCTCCATATTTATAGAAAAGGTTGTAGGCGGATAAACATCAATCACACGAAGTGTTTTCTAATGGATTTCCCTGAAATTAAAAAAAAATGTTCGTAATACAATTATAATAGCAAATACCTATAAAATTTTAGATAGTTTCCCTGCATCGTTCATTAGAAATTTAAAACATCAGTTCATCGCAACATAGTGTCACATATTTACAGGATTCATCCATCTACTATTTCATGCGATTGTTTACAATAAAAAGACTGTTTTGTTGAGTTTTCACATAGTTTTACAACTCATTTTCGTAATGATTAGATAAAACAGGTCGAATTATAAGCTGGTTTAAACGGTAATGTTATAAAAAAGGACATATTTATAGACACGTAAACTTTGATGTAATAAAACGTGTAGTAATTGTAGGTAACAAATTGTGAAATCTTTCGGCTTTCGATTATTATGATTAACACCTTTTTCAAAAATATAATCTTAATATATAAGGATAGGTATGCGTTTTATTTTGTAAGCATCTCATACATCTGTGGCAGCAAAAAAAGAAAAAAGTACAGACACGGGAATAACATTGGTTTTTTGTATCTATATACCTACATGAATTCATTACAGAAATTCACTTAGCATTGACGTTGTATAATAGCTTTACGTGTGTTACGTTGGTTTGAGTACAAAAATGCAATACAACAATTAAGTAATACATTTACTTGTATAGGATTCGATATTTCCAATGTAGCGCTGGGCAGTCAATAAAAATCATTATAGGTAGGTTTGGTCCTTATTATGCATAATTAAGTATTACTAAGTATTACATTGATTTTTAATAAAGTACCTATATGAATAGTAACTTTAGATTTATAAATAAAGCTTTTAAATTTAATTGCATTCACTGAATGCCATTCAGCAGTATTTCAGTGTATAATCAGCGTCATCTAGCGTGGCTGATTTCGAACTAAAAAGTACCCCTATGGGACATGGGTACCTCTTTACCCCTAAAACTCTCACACTCTCAAAGTCTCAGAAAATACTCCGTCAGACGGCGCTAGTGGTAGGAGCAAAAAAATTCACTAGCGCTGCCTGGTGGAGAATTTTCTGAGACTTTGAGGGGGAGGGGGTACTTTTTAATTTAAAATTAGGAACGCGAGATGGCGTTGATTGTCAACAAAAAACACATCCATTGTCCATATCAATAATTTACAAGATGAAATTTTACATGGGAGAAAAAATACTTATTCTAAATTGTTTTAAGTACTAAATAAGTATACCAATCGATTAATTTTAGACAAAAATAAGCATAGGTTTTACCAATAACTTCTTTTTATCGTTACATTTTAGGTTACACGACATTGCCGCAACATGTAATAAACTTTAGTAGATGTAGTATCTGACTTTACATTGTTGAGCTATTGACTAGTTTTTAAATCTACAATTACTGAAATTAATAAACTAAGAATCATTGATAGTTATTAAAACACAATTTTTTCAACTTGGGCACAAAAAATAAATTTATTTCATTTAATAATTTATCAAGATAAGTATTTTTTTTTGCTCAAAATTAGCTTCATTTCATGAAAGCGATATTTTCTGGTAGCTAATCAAAAAAATGTTATCCTTTTAAAGTACATTATAATCATAGAGATGTAAGAAAGGGATGGGAATGATGTCAATATCATCGTGATACTCTAGAGATAATTTTTATTTGATATAGATTATAAATGACAGCTTTCTATTCCCAAGAACAAGCTTATGAAAAATAACTTTGAATGGCATATTATTTAAATAAAAAATATTGTGATGTAACAGAGCCAAATAAAATTGCTAATAAAAATAAATCTCATTTTAAAAAATTGGATGTTCTTGCAATACAATTTAATTGCAATAACTATCAACAATTAATCATTATGAGTTATTCAATGTTTATTTTGAATGTAGAAACAATTGTAGATGATATAAATCTGCCAAAGATCGATAAATAAAAAAAATAAAATGCTACAAAAATATTCAAGTTAACGGACACATATTGAATATTTCCCACAAAATTGATTGAAGTAATTATCAAGTTACGTTTATCAAATAAGTAATGAGGGAATAAGCTAAATACAAAAAAAAATTAGTTTTTTGATACATAATTTATTCAAACTTGTTCAGTATTGCAAATTATAAAATGTTAATTTAAACTTAAGCTTAAAAAATATATATTTTACAATAATTTGAAACATGGACTTAAAAGAAATGAACCGGCCAAATCATGTATAATAAAGTTTCAATTGTATTTCTATTCAATTTCTTGTAAAAGTAATAAAAGTATTAAAATACAGCCATTTGTAGGATTAAAAGTCCAAGTTACATTGATGTTGATTGATTTCTTAACTTCTACTGCGGGTCATGCCAGATTGATAATCGTACATCAAAAATTTATAAACAGATTACTGAACTCGAATTAAAAATTTATTACAAATATGCGGTTATAACGTACAAAATCCTTGTAAGATGTATTTCCGATATTACACAACGCAAAAGTCTAGTTAATTATGAAGAAAATAAAATATACGAGTGAAATTATTTTCGCTTCGTTTCGATGGATATGAACAATCGTGGACTTCTGTTTCATGTATTACGCTAAAAATGTAAGTAAAAACATAGAGGAAAAAAAATTGATTTTAATTTAATATTTTTATTACATCTTTAGTGCAAACGTATAAATTACAATTAACTCTTGAAACGTTTTGTATATTTATTAACTTTAGGAGAATCTCAACGCGTGCTGCTCATTTAGTTTTCGTCAACTTCCTGCTCATTCTCCTCGTCGAATTCGGCATCTTCGTCAGCCGTGGCTTCCTGGTACTGTTGGTATTCTGATACCAGATCGTTCATGTTCGACTCTGCCTCGGTGAATTCCATCTCGTCCATACCCTCACCCGTGTACCAATGCAAGAAAGCTTTTCTTCTGAACATAGCAGTGAATTGTTCTGAGATGCGCTTGAACAATTCCTGGATGGCGGTACTGTTGCCAATGAAAGTTGCCGACATCTTCAGACCACGTGGTGGTATGTCGCACACGGCGGTCTTGACGTTGTTCGGGATCCATTCAACGAAGTACGAGCTGTTCTTGTTTTGGATGTTCAACATTTGCTCGTCGACCTCCTTCATGGACATGCGACCACGGAAAATGGCGGCAACGGTGAGGTAGCGTCCGTGACGTGGATCGCAGGCAGCCATCATGTTCTTGGCATCGAACATCTGTTGGGTGAGCTCGGGCACCGAGAGGGCTCTGTATTGCTGGCTACCTCTGGAGGTAAGCGGAGCGAATCCGGGCATAAAGAAGTGGAGACGTGGGAACGGCACCATGTTTACGGCGAGTTTTCTGAGATCAGCGTTCAACTGACCTGGGAACCTGCAATGTTTCAAAAGAAGTTAGTCGATTTCTTTTGGTGCAAAAACTTTAATTTCAAAAACCTGTTGCACAATCAAAGAGAATGTAGTCAACATTTAAGTTTGTCTTGTTTCAATGAGGCCAGATTTAGAAAAGCCTACATTTTTTTACTTTGGTTTAATGTGGTTCAGTTTAGAGCTGACTACATTCTCTTTGATATTTTGCAAAACCATTATTACGAGTGAGCGAGAAAGATAAACAAACCTGAGACAAGTTGTCACACCAGACATTGTGAGAGATACGAGATGGTTGAGATCACCATACGTGGGTGTGGAGAGTTTGAGTGTTCTGAAGCAAATGTCGTAAAGTGCCTCGTTGTCGATGCAGTAGGTCTCGTCTGTGTTTTCGACCAACTGGTGTACCGAGAGGGTGGCGTTGTAGGGCTCGACGACGGTGTCGGAGACCTTTGGCGACGGCACGACAGAGTAGGTGTTCATGATCCTGTCGGGGTACTCTTCGCGGATCTTGGAAATCAAGAGGGTCCCCATACCGGAGCCGGTACCACCACCAAGCGAGTGAGTGAGCTGGAAGCCCTGCAGGCAGTCGCAGTTTTCCGCCTCCTTGCGCACAACGTCGAGGACCGAGTCGACCAGCTCGGCTCCCTCGGTGTAGTGGCCCTTGGCCCAGTTGTTGCCGGCGCCAGACTGTCCAAACACGAAGTTGTCTGGGCGGAAGATCTGGCCGAACGGGCCTGATCTGACAGAGTCCATGGTGCCGGGCTCCAGATCCACGAGGATGGCGCGGGGCACGTATTTGCCACCAGATGCCTCGTTGTAGTAGACGTTGATCCTCTCCAGCTGGAGGTCGCTGTCGCCATGGTACGCACCAGTAGGGTCGATTCCATGCTCGTCACTAATGATTTCCCAAAACTGCAACAAGCAACGAAGTAAAGTTAATTTAATTTTTCCTAGGATTTTTTGTTTACTTCTGATTAAATGACATCAATTTAAGGCATTTTGTACACAAATAAATAATTTTTACTGTTAAAAGTGTCTGATGTGGGAATTACGGTTGCGTGACGTTACAGGGTCGTAGTCGAGCAATCGAGATTAATTAGCAAGTCTGACTGAGCTGTACGATCATCGCAAGCGGACACGGACGAGCGAGCAGCACCAGGCCACAAATAGAGGTGTAATTGAGTGGTCGAAACAGCAGCTGTTACTTACCGAGACAATGTATAATAAGGAAAATTCGGTTTGTGAGACAGAGACACTTAACTGTTGCAATGTTAACACTAGAATTATTTCTATGGAATAAAAATGGTTTCAAGTATTGGGGTATTCATCACAATAGATTGAGGAAAAATTGTATTGACTAAAAAATTAGAATTTTGATATGAGTATACACAAAAAAAGCTATATTAAGCCAAGTCTCATTGTGCGCTTACTGATGGTCTGATAACAAGAGGGAAAACAATTCCATCAAAAGATGAAACTCGATAAAAAGAACTTTTGCAATAGTCGTTGGATGGATTTGGAAACTAAGAGGACTGAAAAGGTTCAACATTGATTCTATTCGATAAGACATTTAAGACATTCAAATCGATTTCCCGGTCAAGGCTGAATTCCAACAGCAGAATGTACAGTGTATTATTTTTTCTTATCAGTCTCGTCTAAAATAAAGCTAGAGATAATCCTACCTAAAATGACGTTACACGTGCACGTACCTACATGTGTAAAACATATTTGGCTACCATCAGTGTTTGTTCAGCCGCGTCATACCGAACATGTATATATATATTTTTTAATGATTTCATCAAAAAGAACGCCTGCGCGATACATGCGTGTCTCTTCCACATTTTTTATGGATGCATAATTACACACCTGGAAAGAGAGCAAGTCGAGTTTGCGTATGCCTGTATGCGAGTATCTTAAATGGATAGGCAACGGTGTATTGACCACAGATGCCCATAAAAGTGCATCACATCAGCGTCATAACAATTAGAAAAAAAAAAAAAAAAAAATTGAGCTCTTATACGTGTATATCCATTCCCTTGAGTCTTTCTCTCTTTAACACAAAAGCAGGTCTCCTCCTCTGCTATACTCTGCTTCTGCCTCGCCTGCCTCCCACACAAAGCAATAGAAGTAGGTGGATAGGTAGGTTGTATGTCAGAGAGAGATAGCGAAAACTCGGTATTATACAGACACACACATATGCAAGCAGAATAATGGTCGTCTAGGAGAATCGAACAAGACCAGGGGGTTGTGGTACTGCGTGTTAGTGAGGTGTGACTCACCGTATCAATGTCAGAACTGTGCGGTACACGTAAGTTATATTATGCATAAAAGGCCAAACTGTGGCCATATAAGAAAAAAAATTCTTAAACGAGAAGACAGTAAATTTTACGCTTTTATAAAAGAATTCTGCAGTGTATGTCTTTTTTTTTGTTGGAGGACAAGTTTCCGAGATACATGCAATCAAATAAGGGTTTATGAATGATGAGATTTACATGCTAACGACAGAGTTTTTATGTAAGTTAAGATTTGTATTATCATAGGAAATATTGGACAACGAAGTTGGCGATGATTTCAGATCTATTTTCGAGCACTGATATGGATAAACAGGAATCTTTTTTGTTGAGCGACTGATTTAGAGTTGTTTTTTTTATATTAACGATAAGTAAAACATTCGAGTTGGGACATTAAAAAGCTATTATAATAGCTGTAACGGAGTTAAGATATTTTGTCAGTTATTTAATACAAGACACCATACTGAAATTACTCGACAAATCACAACGATAAAAAATTTGAAGGGGACTTTATCCGATTGAAAAAATGATCTTGTGATGAACCGATAAGTTTTTTCAGACGCTCCTACATGACGCCTACCCGCGGACATGATTCATAGAGCAAGGCTCCCGCGCCGCGAGTGACGCAAGCTCTAATTATGCAAATTTTTCAAATTACATCCAAGTACCCACGTCCCTTTTTTTTAATCTTCTCAAACTCCGTGTCGCAATGAGTTTCGTGTTATTTCAGCTTAGAAATTTCAATTCGAAAGAAAGGAGGCCGCAGGAAGTCGAAAGAAGAAAAGTTTTAGAAGTTAACAGGCGCGCTCGCCAGCCCGTGCGGAATTTCCTCGACGACAGCTGGACGGGAGGCAGCAGCAGCTGCACGACTCGTTTATTTTTTTTTCTTTTCCTTTAAAAAGCTCTACAGCCTATGTACGACACTGAGCGTAGCGTCGCGGCATGGGTCTCTCGTGAAACTGAATCATTGGTTGGTGAAAGACGTGGTTTTTTTAAAATATGCTCATAACTTTACGTCCTGTACAATCAAATGGATTCACGAACCGATTACTAGTCAGTGGGACTGTCAAACAGTTCTCACGGCAGCTCGTACATAAAATCGAACAACAAAGTGTCCGCGCGAACATTGAAGATAGCGATTAATATAAATCAATCGGCACGGATATTGCGATTGACGACGAAACGAAGTGTAACCAGTAATTCGTTAATATGTGGCGCGAATAAGGGACGACGAGAGAACGAAGAGAGCTATGTATGTTATGTATTGAAGGTATACGCGAGGCTCGGCCGAGCAACATCAGGTCTTGATCCTTTATTTGGCGTCTATAAGAGGACGCTGGCGCAACATGGCGAGCGAGAACCCGGCTGTCCTTGGTCCCAAAGACAAGCCGGCGCGACGGACTATATATACAATGAACACTCTCTTCTCGCCGTGCCCTCGTCCCTCCATCGTAGGTATTATGGCTGCGCTCTCGCGGATCGTAATTGTTGCGCAACCGCCTCCTTGTTACTCACTCGGATACATTATTATACACGCTTGAATAATAATATCGAGCACGATCGGGATGACTCGTGCGATAATTGCGTAGGACGACTGATTTTGGCATTTTTTTTTTTTCTTCCGTCGATCGACCAATGTGGGTGGGTGTTTGCAAAACTAGTGGTTGGCACATAACGTTTTTTCTTTCTACTTAGACCCTTGGTAGTGTCAAGTGTATTTGATCCAATTTGGGAATCAAGGGAGTTAATCCATAATTTTAATACTTGAGAGGAATATATGTGCTTCTCTGTATTATAATTTTATAGTTATAACAGGCAAATTAAATAACAGTCCTTGAAAACGCTGTACACGCTTGGATGTATAAAATATCGACTACAACTTTGTCGTAACGACGACGGGAGCTAAAAATAGAAACAAATTTATATTCGTGTATAAAACGAAATTGATGGCACAGTAATTTATCGACATAACTTTATACTTCGTATCCCTCGTGCCCCTTTCTAAAAGATTGTTTTTTCATAAACTTTTATCCTTCGAAAAATCTCTCTACTCGACGACTCTCGAGTGCTCAAGACATGCGGCGTATCTTTACGATCAATAAAAAACGACAGGCTGCAGGAACGGAGGGAAGAGTGTATATTTTGAACAAGAGAGGAGCAAGGGGGGCACGCGAAAAATAAGCCTATACGTGTGTCTGTATAAGCTACGAAAGAACAGGCATATCCGGAAGGCACGTCACGAGGGGAGGGGGCGTACATGCGAGAATAAGTCGGTATATGCCCACACAGAAAAGTGAAGGAAGCGAAGGAGCGGCTGGCACACGGCTCGGGAAGGAGCAGCCGCTGGCGAGCGGACATTGACTCGATGCTCGATATCCTTGAAAGTCGCGGGAGCGTGACGATGAGCGCGGTTACTTCATCGTATATCTTTTTTTTTTTTTTTTTTTTCTTACCCGCAACGAGTCGCGGTGGAAATCCAAGGGTGAAGTGGAGCTCGTTATCCGGATAAAATCACGGGAATCGCGATCTTTCGGGAAGACGAGCATGAGAGAGGTGGGAAGAGGGACGAGGGATAATTGGATGCACTGGGGCTGTTTTCGCAGCCTCGGTGAGAACTTACTTGTCAACGAAATAATAGTTATAAAAGCAAGAGAATAAAAAAAAAATTAAAAAAAATTGTGTTCAGCTAACAAAATCAATATCTATATACTACAACTGGCAATCGATGAAAAAAAAAAAGGTTTAACGAAAGCACTTGACTCGCGATATGAATTTAAACGTACTTGCTCGATTACATTTATTTAATTAACAAACACGATCACGAAAACAAATGTCAGCAGAACCACGAGTGGCTGCTGTAGAAAATCGCGTACAGGTAAGAGATACCTGCCCACACACACAAACAAAAAGTTTAAAAGGTCGTGTCAAGGCGATAAAATCATGCTATTATATATCGTTTGCATGCAACACACACACACACACACCACTTAGCAGGCAAATGCTGTATAGGGACGAGGAAGAGAGAAGGAACATTCGAGATAGCGGTGTTTTATAAAGTTCGTCTGCTGCTTCTGCTGTCGCATTGCGTGTTTTGACTTCTAAAGACCCTCTCCCCTTCTCTTTACTTTCCAACAGTTCTTGTCTGCCGACAAACATGTCGAGAACCAGACACCGCTACATTTGTCTGAACTATTTTAAAAAAAAAGCAGGATAGTCTGGAAAAAGTCATCAAGGAATGATTGTTATAAAATGGAGTTACGGCAAACTAAAACTGGGCACTCTATGCCAGCAGTAGAAGCAGAAGCTTTTTTATTCTAGCTCTTTGGCAAGTTATGATTCTAAAAAGAAATAAAATAATTGAAATTTTTGAGAGTAACAGCAGCCCTTTTCTCTTGATGAGAGAACCTCTGCTCATCACAAAAGAATACCATCAGGAAACAGCCATGCGTGTATGTATGCATGTGTATTCTCAAGATTAATTCGTATGTGTAGGTGATGTTGAGGCGGTCTAACCGGTCCAAATCCAAACTTTATACATTTTGCACGTACCGCTCCGAGTATCTGTTTAAGATAAAAACACTAAAAGCATTGAGAGAAAAAAGCATACAATAGACGTAGCAGACACATCCAATAAGATGAGAACCCACGTCATTATATATGCGTATCTAATCCGAGAGGAAGACTGGCCCGGTGAGCAGGAGCGTACACATGCACACTCGCGCACACACGGAACCGGCGTTCGAATAGGAGGCAGACAGCAAAAAACGCACTGCGCGCGCAGCCGCTCGATGCCGCATCCAGCTTTGCTCGACTGCTATACGTTAGCAAATGTGTGTCCCCCGTTTCATTGTGACGAATTCCTGTATGATCCTAACTTTAAGGCCTTCAGACAAATTTGTAAATTCGTAAATTCCTAGAGGAATGTAAATTAAATATTTAAATTTATATATGTGTAAACTTTGTAGCTATAAAAGCCTTTAAAGTCTTAATAAAGCTCATTTTCAAAACTAAAAAAAAAAAAAAAAAAATGTGTGTACTGATAGAACAACTACATTAACGTTTTATGTGTATTGCTGAGTTTTACCACATCCGTAATTTCGTAAGTACTGTAAAATCCTGCCCACGGCTAGCTAGACGAGAAAAGAGCGCGATGTAGAGAAAGATCTCAACTCTGCCACACCCAGCAGAAGAACAGGGATCGAGCGAGTGTACGTATTCTCTCTCGCGTACACACCCATCGCTATAGCAGACTCAAGAGATAAAATACAATGCTTCGCGCACATACTCATAAAACAAGACTTTTAGAGGATTCAAAGGATTATTTTCTCGAGATAACGCGCGAAAAATTTTGCAACCCGTCACAATGACTCATACCGGCAACTCGAGTATGTATAAATTATGGCTTAGGGGCATGCTGCCATTTCTTTGCGATCAAAAGTAATTTGGAGTGCATTTAAAAAAACCAAGTTACTTTTTCGAAGGACGTAACGAATCCAATTGTGCTAACCTAACCTTGAGTATATAGAATGTTTATGTTAATGTGGCATGTTTTAGAGATAATTAAACATTCGAATGAAACCGTCGCTTGGCAGTTAGTACTCCTTCAACGTTCTCTTATTTAACCATGTGCTAGAGCCGAACTCCCTTTTGCAATACAAGCGGCTAGAATTTCGTCATTTTTACCCTTGCACCGAGAACCGGACGCCATACTTATGCCAGTGTTATTTCCGCGGCAGTTTACGTGCCCCGTAGTATCCCTGGGGTGAACCATTTCTTTTTCGCACACATGCGCAGCCGGTCCTCCCCTCCCGGGCTCTCGACTTTTACATTATGACGCACACACACACGGCGGCCAAATCCACGCACCCGGTAGCAGTCGGAGAATTCAACGGTTTTTTTTCTGTATTACAAGTACCGAAAACGCAGGGAGGGGGAGAGAGCCGGGCGACCGTTGGAACGCGTCGGAAGAAGAGAAAGAAAGAGACGGAGAAACCGGGCCGGCGTCTGAAAGCATATATATAGGTTTGATAACAAGTTCATTAGATATTAATGAAATTCGCGGATATTACTCCCCCGCGGGAGAAAAAGAATAGAGAAATACGTCGAGGCAAGAGTGTGTAAGTCGAACGACTAACGGTTTTTAGGATCGCCACCGGCAAATGGAACTTTCACGAGGCTATGGGAGGAGAGGTCACGGCGTCGCTGGAGCGAAAGGCTCTCGAGATTCAAGCGAAAATACACCCTCGAAAGGAACGAGGAGAGCGGCCATGATAAGTATGCTGGATCACTCGGGAGACTCGCAGAAACGAAGACAGCGTGAACACGCACTGCAGGCATCATGTCGTATGTGTATCGTGTACGTATCAAAGGTTATTCAAGTGTGACGATGACAATTAATAAATTAATGATAAAGACTAACCTTAGCGCCAATTTGGTTTCCGCACTGACCAGCCTGGATGTGTACGATTTCCCTCATATTGCTACTGTGGAAGGATACTCTTCGTGTGTATTATATGGTACAAATGTGTAGCTGCCGCTGGAAGATGATCTCGTGTGTACGTATGTCTCTTGAAGTCACTCTGCACACCGCGAGAGCCAAGGGACGAATGCTCGTACGGCCGGCTCGTTGCGTCGGTAGTTACTCTCTCTCTCTCTGCGGCTCTACTCGCTGCCTGCCTTCGAAGTGGAGCGCGGGAAGAGGGGCTTAATCTCGACTGCCATTGGCTGCTTGGCTATTTCAGCGCGCGCTGCTGCCTCTTTTTCGAACCAAACGCTCGATCGTGCTATCTCCAACTCCCCCTGTCCCCTCTCCTTTGACCACAAGTCGTGTAAGTACATCTTTCTCGCTCCTACATATTTGATCCTTGCAGCGCAGCCTTTTACTTTCATATTATCCTTTCGTTTCTGGAGTTTTATTTGTTAAAAATAAGTTATGGTTGATTGTTGGTAAGTATTTGGCATTTTCATTCGCCTGTGTCACTTTTAATTTTATAGCGCGTATGAAACTGTACTTTAATATGTATATCATTGGGGACGCTTAAAATTAATAAAATTAATTAGATCAACGGTTGCGGGATTGGGCCCAGTCGGTCAGTGTTGCCAACTGCATTGGACGGGCTCATTCATCATTACCTATTCTATCGGCTGTTTGCAAATTAAATATGTCATGTGTTTAGTTAAACCTATGCGAAATACATAATAATATGTACCTACTGTACGATGATATAGAAGATGAGTATTAGTACGTCAGCACAAGGTGACTTTTCTACACTTTTCCTTTTCTTTTGCTAGATGAAAAGAAAAATGGATTCAGCTAATGGGGCTGCTGTAAAAGGATTTCCTCTCCGAGAGTTGCTGATACAGCTGTCATACTGTTCTGCTGTTGCCATGTCTGCAGCGTTCAAAGTAATCAATCGGTAAAGCTATTTTTTTTTTTTTTTTTTTTTTCTTGTGCTCATTAAATCGTGTAGAGAATTGGCTGGAAATACGTACACATTTGGCTCTGTTAACTTTTTTTTTTTTTTTTTACGTGTACGCTGGTTAAATTTTCTCATTACAGGGATATAATTGGTTGGATACTTTTAATTTGAAAATATCGTGGCCTCACATTTGTTCGTTGTTGCACCAATCATAAAGCAATTACGATGGAACCCATCATTATACGAGACCATGTTCAATAACTGTCGAGCTTATTTGCAATATATTATAAGTATGAATACATGCTTTATCTAAATGTCTCAATGATAGTATGTAACAAAGCGTTTGAAATAGATACATTTGTTGTTTGTTTTCATATTTTTTTTACAAGAAAGGACGCAAATTTTTCAACAAGTTAACTGTAGGCTCTCTGTCTGTAGCAGTTAAAGTGACTGATGTAGTACTTCTTTGATAGTAATTACAATAGTTACGCTTGTTCATTAATCCACCATTCAATTTTTTAAAACTAAGTACTATTTGCCTTTAGAAAGTTAACAAACAAAAAGGAAATTACTTACTCGGAAAAAATAACACCTACACCTACCTAACTGTTAGTTTTTTTATCTTTTAAAAACGTAAATTTAAATAGGTATGACCAAATGGCGAATGCGTGTTAATAATCGAGTCATCGCGAGATAAGACAAATAGTTTTTCAAAACTGATAATCGTGTAATTTTTTTTGTTTTTAAAAATTTGTTCAATTAAAATTTTCTAGAAATAAAGGCTTTAAAATTAGTTATGACATATTCCACGAACTAGTATAATCTTGCATAATGTAGGTCTACACGATGATTAAACGCACTTTCAAGATAAAAAACGTGCCTCGTAAAGAAAAAAAGAAAAAAAAAAAAACCACGCTTTTTGATAATAGTTTGAAAATATTTTTGAAGTTCAATTTTTTGGCATTTCAAATATAAAACAATGTGTCAAAAATGTGAATTTTTTTTTTGAAACGATAGGTCTGTATTAAAAAAAAAAAAAAAAAAAAAGAATATCAAATATACAAGTTTGAATCCGTGATTATATTAAGCACTGTGATGAAAAGAACATTGAATTATATCATTGCATGCCTAAAATTAGTTTGTAAGACTGATGCATAACAATAATGTATTTAGACACACACAAAAGAATTCAATAGTGCAAATGTATAATATTTCACGCTGCAAATGTAATATGTGCAAAAAGTTTTTATTTCAATGCTCGTACATAAATAAATTGATACTCTCTTCATTCGCGATGTATTTATGTATCACGGATGTGACAGTATTTTTTATCCGATCAAAGAACACAAAAATTCATTTGTCAAAAAGATCCGGGTACAGACACGTGATACCACAAAAAACGTCGCGGGTATATATAAATAAAACCCACTGTTCATCTCCAACATAACGTATTCGTAATATCGACGTTCTCATTCATCCGCTTGACTCATCGAACAATCTACTTTCCCTGTACCTATGAGGGCACTGCTCGATGTACAAAACAAAAAAACCGCAAAATCCCGCACGCAGTGTGACTTTCACCCCCGTATCACCTGTCGAAATCCCATTTACGAGCCGTCCTCACCCGTGCATGATACACCCTATCGTCCACACACCCTCGCATTATATAAAGAGCTTACGAGGCAAAGCCTCGAGTAAGAAAGCGAAAAAAGCTCGGTGCAAACGCAAGGAGGGGTAGGAGGGGGACACAATGCATGTGTGCTGTGTTCTCGAAAGAAAAGCTCCAGTCGTGACGGCTCGAAGTGCACATTAGCGGTCCTCTTTGATGCACGCCGCATGTGACATCCATAAAAACCCCGAGGCGCGCACAGGTGTGCGTTACTCTCTTTTGTTTTAACACGTGTAAGTTGTACATTGTATACATATATGTATATATACAACAGTTACCTCGTATGTACGTTAATTGTATAGCTTGCAGGTGTAAGCGTGCAACGATGACTCGGTCTCCAACTCCCCCACGCGTCGAGGGGATGGTGATGATTCACCCTCCAGTGGTGGCGCACACGCATACGCACCCAATACACAAGCTGTATATATATTATTCTCCCGTTATGTTCCACCCCCCTGTGTTGCTAATGGGGAGCTTTCGTGTGTTATTTTCTGCCTCTGTCTCGCTTTTTCTATATGCGTTATAGCTGAGTTTCTTTGTCCGTATATGACGTACGATCTACAACCTTTTTTTTTCAAGCTGTACATGTTCTGGGAAACGCCAGGCGTGTAATACACACACAATTGTTAGATCACGTGGCTCACGGTATTACGTGTACTTTATTACACTAATTGACGATAAAAGTCAAATTTTTGGCCCAAAAAAACAATAAATAAATAAAAAAAAATAGAAACAATTACGTTGTAGAAGACCTGATGACAAATTCTTCTAGTAATATCTTATCCCATCATCAAAACGTTTAATAAAGCATGTATACTATGATGCAACCGTGCCTCTTAAAAGTCGTAATAGTAGGAAACAATGTATTTTTTTATTATTTATTTAAGTTCTGAAGGGAAATTATTATTTGATCAGAGACTAATACGAGCAATCATCTACAATGAGATTTCATGAATTAAAGCTTGTTTCAAGAGCTGCTTTTCAAGTGGATGATTTAACTTTACCATGAGCTACCTAATAAAAGAAAAAAATAAGTAGAAAATCAAGACTTTCAAATGAATTTGGTGTTTCTCCTGTGCAGGCCCTTTTTTCCCAGGATATAAATGTACACACGACATTGATTTTTTACAGGGTATTGGTTATTGAATGATGGGCCACGTGAAAATCCAATTCTTTTTGCAAATTCTCTATTATATGTGTCTGCTATTAATCATGGAAAAATATCTTTTGTTGCAATTTTTACGGTCTGTAGGAGACATTTATGCATCGTCGTCCATACTTTGTACCTCCTCGTATTTTGCTGAATGTAAAAAACTGAGTACGTCATGTACGTATACGTGCCCACTGACTTCACTAATAGTACACCACCAATCCCTCCTACACACGTACACGTAGTCGCAAGAGGAGAAGCGACTGGAATAGAAATAAAGGAGAGAAAGAGGAAGAAAGTCGATAAACGTGACTCACCTCTTGCACACACACACACCCATACACGTACTCGTATCCATAGCGTCGCACTTCTCTTTCTCATTCGTCAAATCGATTTCGACAAGCGTAAAAAGCGCGCGCGTGTCTCTATGCCGTTCATTTTTTTATTGAAGCTCTCTTTTTCGCTATTGTTAAACGTGGATATAAGATGGAGAAAAAAAACGGTATGACGCTCTGTGCGATTTTTCGCTGATGAACAATTCCACAGACAACCACCGCGTTGAGGGTTTCAAGTGTCTGTACATACACTCGTAAATAATACATCGCGAGCTATAGTTCAAGGGTACACGAGAGAAACCCACGATTTAAAGAGCCAACTATTTTTTTCCATTTTGGCATAAATAACGAGTCAGTCGCGTTGGGTCAAATATATAAAATGGGTGTTTTTTAAATTACCCTTGTAGCAACCGAGTGCTTGCATTAAACATTTAGTATACCTTCGACGAGGCGACAGATCGATACAGGTACCATACACCATTATACATGTATAGATCTGTATGATTCGTTGCACGCACCTGTAGATGGATACAATAATTTAGTTAGGAAAAAAAAAAAAAAAAGAATAATTACAATATTCAACGCTACCATGTACACATGTACGTCCACGAACAGATTGTGTATGTGCTACCGCTGATTACCAGTGGGTTTCTATATTTAATGGCTCGCGTATTGATCAACCCATGCGCGCAGGCGGTGTAGGACTGGCGCTGACGCTAACGTCACTTCCAAGGAAAATCAAATTGATCGCGGCACCCGATAATTTGCCAAATCGATTTGGCTACCCTACTGCCGTTTATTGTCGTGTTACGAATTTAAGGAGAGTTTTTTTTTTTTTTTTTTTTTTTTACCGTACTTGGGCCTGCGAATTAATTTACATGATTTTTTTTCGGCTCTCAATTGTGACGGGTGACCGAAAATGTGACTACACGCGACCTGCTCGTTACATTTCACGTTGTTGACAGACCTTGGAAAGCTTATAATCAAAACCCCCCTTGCAGAGGCAAGTTATTGAAAATGATCTTAAAAAAAACAAAATAAATAATAAA